GTGGGGACGCTCCGGGGAATTCCGGGGGGTTGGTACCGCTGGGAGCTCCCGGGGACACTTGGGAGTGGGGGTAGCGCTGGGGCTGTGCTGTGGGCGCTCGGGGTTTGGCAGTGGTGGGGCTGTGCCGGGATGTTTTTTGTCCGGGATGGGGTTTTCGTGGGGTTTTCCCTGCCCCAAGCAGGTCTGCGGTGCTGGTTGGTGTGGGGATGGTGTAGCAGCGGTGCTGCCCCACGGGGACGCGGAGGCACAGATGGGTCTGTGCTGGGGAATTCCTTCCGCAGGGACTACAGCCCTGTGGGTTTATGGTCTGCCGTGTGCTCTGGTGGTGTTCCCCACTGACACTGTGCTTCCAGATCCTAGTCACAGAAGGGCATTTCATGCCTTTGTTAATTATTTAGTACTTTCACATCCTCCTCCTTATTTAACCCCTGTCTGTGCTCGGCATCCTGGATGGACAGCAGCTCCTTCTGGATAACTTGGCAAAAGCTAGCACGTCCTAAGCAGCCCAGTGCAAAGTCGACAAACATGGGTATCAATGATTGCTTCTATTTCTGGCTGTGTTAGTATGCTCTGAGAGCTTTTACTTGTGTGTTTTCTTGGTCTCCAGCTTGTGCGCAGTGGCAGGGTAACAGCTTCTGAGGGCTGTTAAAGTGTCCACCAAGCCAGCAGTCCCTAAAGTTTCTGCCCCCCTCCCTGGAAACTTCCCCAGCCTGTAGGAAAGGGTCTGAGGTGAATGGTTGACCAAGCCACTTTTAATGAAAGCCCATCTTTGTTTTTCACCAATGTCACAGAGTAGAGTAAGCCTCTGAGGTAAACTCAGGGTGGACCGTGTAGCTGCTTCTCCGGGCTCCTCCTGTCATCTTGAAGTGGCTTGCGTCCCACCTAGGAGAGCAGATAAGGTTATCAGCCATGGGATGATGAAAATCCGTTCAGGAAGGAGAGCAGAAAACATACTTCTGTGTGCCAGCATTGCTTAGGGCCCAGCAGCAGACATGCAGCTGCCCCCATTCACTTTGGTGTGTGCCTTTGGGTGCTGAGGCCAAAGTGAAGTCCCAGCAGAAGAGCTGAAGCTCCCTGGCATTGCCATCTCAGTGAGCTGCTTCCAGTGGGTCTCCCAACCTCCAAACACCCACTCTCCTTTGCACTGTCATTTTCATAAAACCTTCATTCCCGTAGTCATGCCAGTCCAGGAAAATCTACCTGTTTCTTGGTGGAGAAGATTGAGAAACATCTCACTGAGGCCTGGGCTTAAGGACATCTATGGGGAACCCAGAACTCCTTGCTTGTCCTTGTTGTTTAGTTTTAGTCTCTGGACTCAGGAATTTAAAGCCAATCACACATTTTCTGCAAAGCCTGAGCCTATTTTTGGCCCCATCAAAGAGGGGGTTAATGCAGTAGCAGAGTGATGATTAAGCTGGTTGAACAGCCTCCCCTCTCCCTTTGCTGCTTCCCCAAGGCTGAAAAAAGGTGCCTTGGCAATGGAGACATCCTAAAGGTAAACACATGGGAATTAAAAGGTGCTGCCAGACCTGCAGCAGGTGAAGGACGTGGCTGATTACTGCCTGACAAACAGTGTGACCAGGGCACAGGTTCTTGTATAAGAAGAGCAAACAATGACAACACCAAATACAAGAGCAGCACAAGAATCACTGATGTGGCCCCAGAAGCTGGGAGATGCTCAGCTACGTGCGGATGGGCTTGGGGGTGCCAGCAAGATTTCACATGCTGTATATCCCCAAGGACTGCAGGATGAGACCAAGTATAGAAACACCTGTCATGGGAGTAAATTTGGCAACTGCATCTCCACAGGTGGCAACAACACGCTCCACAGCCCAGCACCTCAATGGAGTCCTGGCCTCAGTGGTCATGTCCACTGAGCCTGCGAGATGGAAGTGCAGCAGCTGCATCACTGCCAGCATGGGCAGCATGATGGGACCTGCCACCCCTTGGCGTCTGCAGTCTGCACCATCATCCCCAGAATAACCCTCTGAGCAATGAAACTCTAATGAAAAGAGACCTAGTGGCTGGCTGTTGTTAGGAAAAAACTTTTCCCCCAGGGCAACCTGGTTGGAGTGCCCCCCCCACCTCCCTGAACCTGTCTGCACCTAGGGCTCCTGTAGTGAGAGGATCGCTGGGGTAAATGCGTAGATGCACAGATTATTGCTCTGGGGCTGAGACCACAGCACCGGATACTCCTGCAAGAGACAGAGGAGGTAGGTTGAGTGGTGGCCCCAGGGACAAGGGAGGCCATCCCCACCCAACCCAGGGCAACCCATCCCCACCCAACCAAAGTCATCTCAACCTTACAGCCCTCTCTTCTGTTGCATTGAGATGCCTTCTGATGTCAGGGGCCCCATCAACGTAGTAGTCCATCCCTCGCAGGCAGTAGTGGCGGCCAGAGCAGGGACTGTAGTAGCCCTGGAAGGGTCCCCTCCCTGTCACGGTGTACACGGGCTGCAGGGATGGTGGCGAGCACCGTGACAGCTGGCGCAGCATGTCAGCAACCGTCTCCCTCTCTGTGAACAGAGGGATGGTAGAGTAAGGTGAGGAGGAGCAGCCAGCCCTTCACCCAGAAGCTGTTGGCACAGCACAGGCAGCAAGCACAGGCACAGCTACAACTGCAGCACAGGGGCAGGTTGAGGGCAGGTACCGTATTGACTGAGGCAGACGGGTTTCAGGGGGTATGGCATGGGTATGCTGCACAGGAAGGTCTCCATCCTCGCCTCCTACAACGGGCAATGGGAGCCCTTGCAGTTTTGCCACTCTTTTGCTGCAGAGCCCAAGGTACTGATGGCACCCAAAGTGGCTCCAGTTTCAGGGAGCGGGGGGAGACAGACCCTACCTTGAGCGGGAGGGGGAGGTAGGTGGAGTACTTATTCCAGGCTGCACTGTTGTAGGGACCTGTTCTCCAGGTGATGTATTTGTCCTTGTTGACAAAAACTGGGTTGTACTTCTCTGCAACGGCGACAGGCAGGGTTGTCCTGTGGTGCCGGGGATGCAATGGGACAGCCAGAGCATCCCAACTGTTCCCCTTCTCCCCAAGATGCAACAGCATGGGGCCAGAGGGCATATCAGAGATCCTGCTTCCAGGTCCTTGTTAAGGATCCATGATGGAGGTGGCACCCACCACTTCCCGCTCGTTGGTCACTTGTCGTTGCCCACACAGCCTTGGTTCCTGGGGGCAATGGGGTGCCAGGAGGGTGTCCTTCAGGCAGCACCTACCACCATGTGTTACTGTGGTGGCCACTGGGGGAGAGATGTCCTGGGGACCTGTAGACATTCCTGGGACTGCGACAGTCTCAGTGCAGGAATGGGGATGGGCAGTCATGGCAAAGCCACAAGCACAAATGCCGAGGGAGGGTCCCTTTGCTGCTGTGAGGGGGGACACAGGATGCAGAAGGCAGGATGAACAGAGCCACTGGTGGCACCCTCAGCCCCCTGACATCGTGGGGATGTGCCCTGTATGACGCAGGGGGATGGCTGGGACCCTGGCAGTACCTTCAGACCTGGACAGCCAGTACTTCTCGGGCCAGTAGGCAGCAGGGTTGATGGTGTTCCTGTAGTAGTCCTGCATCGCTGCTTTAATTAGCTCCTCAGGTTGACCTTGGTTCGCTGGATTTTGCACTGGGGGCATCGTTAATCCCTACAGATGGGGTGGAGTGGAGAGAGATAGCCAGGCCATGTGGCAGTGTCTGCCTTTGTGGCTGTCGGGGCACACGGTGAAGCTGATTATCAGGCAGGGCATAATGCTGGAGATGCAGCTGGAGATTCAAGCACCATACCTCTCTTTGCAGTGGGTGGGCACAGGGGTCATAGCAGCACCATGATCCCCCCTAAGGCTTCCCGCTCGCCCAGGACCAGGGGATGGAGGATGTCTGGGCATCAGCAGCTCCTCTCCCTAGGGTGTCCATAGGCATCCGGGGGTTTTGCAGAGTGGGAGATGGGGTGGGTGCACTGGGACTGCCAGATGTGGGGCCAGCAGAGCTTGCGAAGGCAGTTAAAGGACCAAACCAATCTCCTACAGCTGGCAAAGCCCACGAGGGCTGGGGTCTTGCAGGGCAGAGGGGTGCCCTGGTTGCATGAGACATTTCTGTCCCTGCACAGCAGTGACATCCCTCTCTATGCCCTCTACTGGCTCCCTCATTATAATGCACATGCTAATGAGGCTGCAAGAGATGAGCCAGTTGGTGGCATGCTTTGCATCAGAGCCTGCATGCTTGTTAGCCTGTGTGGGGAAAGCTGCGTGTTCACAGCACACATGTGATGTCCCATAGACACTCCCTGCAGTGAGGCCAGGGCTCAGGGATCCCTCCTTGTCCAGGACCAGGGCTGGAGGAGGTTTTGTGGCGATCAGATCTGTCCTTAGGCCTCTCCGAGGCCCTGCTGGCATAGAGGGCTCTCCCAGTCAGAGCTGAGCTGAGCCTGGGGGCTATGTGTTGGAGCACCTCTTACAGGCATCCCATCTTCCCTCCCCTGTTATCATGACGCCAAACAGCAGCCCTGAGCTGAGCCCTGCCACTGCCTCAGTTTCCCTTTCCTCAGTGGATCCTGCCCGCTGTACACTAGAAATCCCAAGGTTTCCTCCTCCCATGGCATTTACCTGTGTCACAAACTTGTTTTCTACCCAGGACAGCTGTGGAGGTTTCTCGTGGACGGTCTTCTTGACAGAGCATGGCGGGCGGTAGGAGTCGGTGTAAGTGCTGATGGGAGTCTTGTGTTTTTTGGAGAAGAGAAGCATGGCGCAGCAGCCCACTGCTGGGGATGGGAGTGCTTGGTGTCCTGGAGAATCCCAGGGATGCCCCACCAGATCAGCAGCACTGCATGAGGCTGCCAACTCCCAGCCCACACAGGAAAGGGAATGGTGCCACAATTCTGCCAGCCCAGCGTGGTGCTTATGCCATCAGTGATGTCATAGTGTGGGAAAAGGGGGATTTGGTGGCTGTCAGTCCTGTGGCTGTGCTTCTGAGGATAGCAGGTCCTGGTTGAGGGCAGAGCAATTACTGCCTGCATCCCTCCCAGTGTCCAGCTGCTGCTGCACCCTTCTGCCTCCATCCAGGATTTGGGCTTCCTCCTCTCCTGCAAGCAATTACCTTAGCTATGGTAGGTAAGTTTCATCTGGTCCTAGTAAAGACAATTTTATTTTAGGCAATGCAGGAGCAGAGACTGTATTTTCTAGCCCTTCTCTCTCATATTTCCTTGGAAATCTCACTCCAGCTGCAAGCACACAGCACTACATCAGTGCAGCCAGTGCCCAGGGCCCAGCACCAGGCACGGCTGTCCCAGCCTGCTGGGGGAGCCCAGAGAATTATCCCCTGCTCTGTTTCCCCTTTTTAATTAAAAACCTGGGTTTAGGTGATCCTCTGTGGCTTGTTTACTCTTCTGTCCTGAGTGATGGGCTCTGCAGTCAGAGTGAGCGATCCTTATCCAGCGCAGAGGCAGCTGGGTTATGCTAGGGAAGGACTTGCATAAACTGTGTTTGTTTTTCCCTCAAGCCAGAGAGTTGAGCAGAAACCCTTGCCCTTGCAGAAACCCCACTCTGGCCTGCCTTGTCACACAGTGCCGACTCAGAGCCCTGCTCTGCTCCTGGCTCCAGCCCCCTTGCTGCCACGTTTTTGGGGACGACCAGTGAAGACCCACATCCACCTTGGCAGGATGGATGTCAGGCGGCTCCCCTGAGAAGGGCTGCAGAGCCCCGTTCTTTTAGCTGTGGGTGATGCTGGGGCTGAGCAGCTTGGGGGACCCAAATGCCTCCAGGCAAATGTGATTAATATGCTGTTAAGAGGTGAAATGAAGAAAACAAGCTGCCCTGGATTTTCACACTCTAAAGGTCTGTGTTGAGCCAGGCTTAGGCTCTCCATCAAGCCTCATCGCCTCCAGGGAGCCAGTGGGAAGCTGGAAGTGAAGGGCGGACATGGGGGTACCAGCGATAACCTGCACCCTTTCACTCGCAGTGGCCTCAGAGCACCCCATGATGCAGATCTGGGGAGCTCTGCTCTGCAGAGAGGTGGAGTCCAAGCCTCTCAGCTAGGAAGGGGCTCATCCTGTGAAAATGAGACAGTGGCTCCCCACTGCCCACCGTGGCCGTCCCCTTTTCCCCGCAGTCCCTGGGATTTCTAGCTGCCGGCGTTGGACTCTGACATCAGTGCTTGGCTCCTGTGCCAACAGCTTCAAGGGTCAGAAATGGCTGCAAGGCTGCAGAAATGATTACTTCACCCACTGGTGTCATACAGATGCAGTACTTCTTTCTGCTTCTGTTGCAGCCCAGATGCAGGGGCTGGATGCAGGAGCTGGATACAGCCCCTGCATCTTCCTGCTGGCTTGGAGAGAAGCATTTCCCAAATGTTGGCTGGAGGCTGGCCAGCCCCAGTGGGTTTACTTGTTCCATACGGCACAGGTCCACGACAGCCACTTCTATGGGGCTCTGAATACTGGTATTTCAGTATCTGTGGTTGCTTGGAGTTAAGAGGAGATGGTGCAGTTCATACCCTCTTGCCTTGGTTCGCTCCAATGAGAAAGGCTGGCAGGCTGGTTTTCATATGTATGCTTTTTAATATCATTAACTCTGTTACACTACACACAACCAGTAACAATGATAAATACTGCAATGGAAATGTTAAAAAAAATATTATACGTTTCACGTTTTTCAAAAAAACCCACATTTTGAAATAAATTAATGCATAAAACCAATGGTAGAAACAAGAAAACCCAAAACAAACCACAACACAACTGATCTGTTTAAGGCAATACTCTACGCAGATGGGAACAGAAGTATAACAGTGTGCTACATGTTCTGAAAGGGAAAAAAAGAAAGAGAAGAAAACCCATACAAGATGCAGATTGATGCTTCAGGAGTGAAAAAACTCCCAAAACCAGATAATAAAACCAATGGCCAAGTTAAGTGCAGCATTAATACACTCTGCATGTCAAATGATTAGCAGGTTCCTAACATGGACTAAGGTCAAGCTACAACAAATTTATCTTCCTAATTAAAAGGTTATTCAGGTCAAACCCTACATTTAACTCTACTTTGCATTTGGGTGTTTCAGCTATGTTTCACTATATGCAAGGACAGCCGGAAAGTCATCTCCTGCTCTTGAGATTAATGCAAGGGTTGGGACGTCTCTCCTCCTGAAAGATATTTCCATTAAATACATCCAAAAAGGATCTTGCTTTCGATCACCCCCAAATGCCTCAAGCCACTCGCTCCCCTGAGGCGCCCGGCACCACTTGGAGAAAGGAGACCTGAGAAGCATTTGCTTGGGTTGAGTTTTTTCCAAGCTGAAGACACGAAATGGAAGTGCAGATTTGATCTGGACTTGGAGGAGTGCTGTTTCCCTGTCTGCCAGAAAGTTCTATCTGGAGCCTGCTGAAAGCACTTTGCCAGGATGGGAGAACCCCATCCTGTATCCAGGCTCTGGATACAGCCACAGCATTTTCTGCTAAGGTTGGTGCAAAGCTCCATACCTGCCCAGACAGTCAATGAACCTCAACTATTAATGCAGCCCAGAACTTGGCCACTGGAAGGTGGACAATAATCATAATGCCAAAAAAATCCCCCTCTCCCTGAAAAAAAGCAAAGAAAAGGGACAGTAGCCACTTGCTGGCAGCTTCCCCCAGGGGATCCCCATCAGCTGGCACCTATGCAGGATCAGCAGAGCCAGATCTCACCAGCATTGACCCAGTACATTCCCCATAAGTTGCATGCCTCCAAGGTGCTGTCAGGGAGCAAAACAGCTTCTTGGGACATGGTCAGAGCCTCCTGTACTGACCTGCTAGAGTGCGTGTGGAGGAAGCTATGGTACATGAGGAAAGAAATACAAGCGAAGTTAATAGACTTCTGATGGCCAACAACTGTCTGGGCTGCCTTGGGGTCAGGTGGGAGAGCTGGATGCGGACTGGACTGAGAGTCGCTTTGGTGCAACTGCCTCTTATGCTCATCACTGGTGCATGGGATAGGCGGGGAGGAACAGCGATGACTCGTTTGAGAAAAGAGGAGCGCAAGGAGATGTGTGCAATATAATGATGCTTGCAATTCTAGGACTAACCACTGGGCACGTGTACCGAAGATTACCTGTGACAACTAGCTATCCTACTTTTGCTGCTCCTTTCCCCACTTTTTGGTCTGATTCTTCTTTAGTTGGGGAAGCTGTGGCTGTTTGGTGTGATAGCCAGCGCTCACTCTCCCACCCCAGTCCCCATGCAGCGCATGGGGTGACTCAGCTACGGGATGTACAATGAGGTCTGGAAGTCGCACATTAGGCTTAGACCAGCTCTGCATGCAAGTAGTGCCTGCTTTCAGACCCTTCAGAAAGCTATTTAATGGTGGCTCATTTCCTTTATTAAACTGAAGGTTCAATAACTTCTGTGGAAGGAGTAAAAATGGTTAAAAATGTGCAAAAGGGTGGGGGGGGGGGGGGCCCTTTGTGAATTTGCAAAGAGTCTGCAAAGACTTCATCCTCTGCAAGAGTCTTTTTCCCTGCAGAACTACAGCCCTAGCAGAGTCTCACTGCACCCTGACCCAGCACAGCAAGAGTACATCCGACAGGCATCCCACCTGTGCCTCTGCTGCAGGTCTCCAGCCCGCACCAGGAGTACATGGGCTGGCAGGGCGGGGGCTGGGACCTGGCGCTTGGGTCCCAGACCTCCCACAGCAATGAGACCAGGAGGGTAAAGGCAGCCGGCTTGGCTTGCTGAAGCACACCAAAATTTTACACTAGCCTGGTGAACCCACAAGCTCCACAGCCTTAGGTGGATCTCCCCCTGGTCTGATATTTGTTATGGGTTTGTCTGAGGAGAGAAGCAGCTACAAGCCAAACACAGCTGCTACCTCAGCTTTTCTGTGCAAGGAAACAGAGCAAAGAAATCTGTGAGCTGGGTGTGGAGATGAAGGTGATAAAAACCAGGGCTGTTGTGAAGAGAGCTTGTCCAAGTTTTTCAGCTCTCTCCATGCATCCCTATTACCTCTCCCAACAAACTTCGTGTCTCCCTGATCATGCAGGCTTGAGGAAGGTGGGTAACAAATGGAGTGCAGCTTTTTTGGGTTGCAGAAGCATGAAGAAAGCCTCAGCCGAGAGAAGTGCTTCCCAGTGAGCTCACCTGGGGCAGCTGGCTGAACAACTAGAGAAGAAATACTGCTCTGGGAGTGTAAGCATCTTGGCAGGTAATGGGAGCTATCTCAGCATGGCCTTTCAGTGGCCTCTTCTTTTCCCAGTGCCTACTGTGCTGGCTTCCAGTGACACATTTGAGACAGTCACATTTAAATGAGGCTTTTTGTACCTTTTACTCCCTGATGCAATCCCACCACCTGTATTGCCATTTGTTACTATGGAAATGGCTCCATAGCCAAACAACAAGGTGGGCTATTTGCAGGAGCAAATCTGTCTTTTGCTGGAGCAGCTTTTTAGAGAAAGAGAAAGGTTCAGAGCCACCACCAGTGGCAGATGGTCTGGGAAGCAGCGGAAAGAGCTGCTCTCCACAGGCACTGGCGAAAGCTGCAACCTGTCCTACCAGTGTCTGTGTTGCTCTGCAACGTGGCTTGCTGTATGGCTGTGTGGGCCATTGTGCTCTGCTCCATGAAATCTCAATTAGTCCCCAACATTTGCCTCCCCAGCAAGCTGTCAAAGCAGTGCTCAGCCAGCCAGCACTTAGCTGCTGTGATCCTGGGATTGCCACCAATGTCAAGGAGGGGAAAGCAGGGGATGTAGCAGTAATTTTCTGGAAGCAATGCAGCATCTCAGA